TTTGGTGTCTTTTCTCAATCTTGACATATGTGCCCCCAATTTGAAAAGTGCCTGGAGAGGAAATATGGAAAAAAACAGGGATCCAGGTGTCCTTCAGTGAAAGTGCCAACATCGAAGGCTGTGTGTAAATAAAATACCCCCAGGACAGAGGCTGCCCATTGCTTGGCCTATTAAGCATCGCCTAAAATGTGCATTAAGATTCAGATCTGTAGACCACCCCAGATCCAAGAAACCCAACCTGCATTGTTAACACTCACCCTAGGTCAGCGATTCTCAACCTGTTTCATCTCATGGCACACATAAACTAATTGGGAAAATTCTGTGGGACACAAAATTTTTTTGCCAGTCTGCCAAAAAAAAAAAAAAAAGGTATAATTTTGATTCATTCACACCATACGGCTACTGTTGTGTTAGCTGCTGTTATTTCTTTTCTTTTCTTTTTTTGACAATTTAAGGGGAAAGAGGTCAGTGCCCCTGACTAGACAGTCAGGTATTGCATGTTTCAAACATTCGTGCAGCACCCTTGTTGAACATCGTTGCCCTTGGTGACTCGGATGAGCTCTCTTGGTTTGGGACTGCCCCTCTGGGAACGCCTGGGTTTCCACTGGGTGCGGCCAGGTTATAGCTTCCCTGAGTATCATTCACAAATCTTTTATGTTTCCCATATCCCTTCCTGTCAAAGGAATGGAATGTAGGGTGAGATTATCTATTATTATTTCACAATTAAGGATAATGATGTAAAACGTCCGAGGTGAGTCAGGGATGCTTCCAGAAATCTCAGCCTCTCGTCGGTTCCGTATTTCTGTTCACAAGCCCATTGTTTCTGTTGACGCAACCAGCCTTTTAGTAGGCAGGCATCTCCATGGGTCAGGGACGTAAATTCACAAAATAATGAAAAGGAAAAGGAACGGTCCCTGGATCCTCACCCCTGCACCTCTGGTGGTAACCGAACCAATGGCAGCCAAAGCCCTGAGATTCCAGTCTAGACAGAAGCTGGGGCTTGGCAGGTCTGAGCGAGCCCCAGTCTGGAGAATTCCCCTAAAGGTTCATTTTCCACTGGGCACATGTGGGATTTGTGTTTAGTTCCCAAGAGTCCTTGGAAGTCCTAGATTAAAGCAATTTTCCGTCCTCCCTGGGCCCGTGGAGTCTTGTTCAGAGAGGGCTGGAGGGGAACTGGTCTCACTCTGCCTCTCGCCTGGTCTGATAAAGGGCTTTGAGCTTCTAGAAATAAAAGCACCAGCAGAAGTGCTACCACAGGTAGTTATGACCATTATTTATTGAGTGCTGCCCCCTAGAGGATTAAAGAAATGGAGTCCTGAGGGCTCTGAACCAGACTCACCAGACCTCAACCCCACTTCAGGATATCAGGCCTTCCCACAACCGGAGGCCCCAAGCTCGGAAGTCAGAGTTCATGCTCATGGTTTCCCAATGGGCTTCAGCTTATTACTTTTTTCTCTCTGTCCTCTCTCCCCTGGGCCCTGCCCCTAAGCTCTGGCTACAAAGTTCTCAGATACAGGATTCTTCCAGGCTGGACACTTTCGAGAATGGTCTGGCCAGCCTGGTAAGTGGTCAGGGGAGGTGATACTAAATGACCCTCTAGGCACTGTCATTGTAGATAGTGCTATTTGTCCCTAGGTTAGCATCTTGGCCATAGTAGAAGCGGGGATCTCTGCTTAAGATTCAAACTCCACACTGCCTCTTCACTCCATTGAATATCGGGGAGTGGCTGTCTTTATAACTGACATTTAAACAGGGGGAAAAGTAAACCTGGAGTTTTTAATATTGTGGATGTGCTCTCCAGCCAAGGAAGGAAGGAGGGAAAGAAAGGAAGAAGGGGGCGGGGGGGGGGG